TGGGTATTATCTCGATATTTTTCATAGATTATCTGCTTAAACGATTTAACAGTGGAAATTCATTGCCCCAAGATCTGCCTCGGAGATTTCTATTCTGTACTCACAAAACGTCGTGGACGTATATTGTCTGAAGAAGAGAGACCTAGAACCTCTATGGTTTATGTCAGAGCCTATCTCCCTATAGTCGAGTCTTTCGGCTTCACTGCCGAGTTGGGAGGAAAGACAGACCAAAGGATGTCTTGTCAATATACTCTTGACCGCTGGGAGCTTATGGACGGTTCTGCATTGGATAAGGGATCTATGATAGAAGAGATTGTTATGAATATCCGAGCCCGGAAAGGTCTCAAAGTAAGTCTGTTTTACGAATTTGTCACTTTCAAGCACCGATCTGCTATATAGCCCGAAATCCCCAGTGTTGACAAATATCAAGACACTCTTTGAATATGAGAGGGATAGGGATGAATTTGGCGTGTGTTTAGGTTAGGCGAAAATCAGATAATCGTATTGTCGAGGTCTGTTCAATACATAGGAGAATCACTGAAATCGTGAAATGATAACGAAAAAATACTCACTCAATATGTGGGAGAATGAAGAATACTGCAGCCAAACGCTTGCTCGCCACAATTATTGAGAAGTACAGAAGTTCATTCCTTATGCCAGTCCTGAGGATAAAGAGGTGAGAGCTCTGTTAGAGATTATTCAGCGTTTAAATAATGGATTTGCTAGATAGCCCCTTATACTACGAGCTCCAGATATTTTGTATACCTAGGACGGATCGCGGATCGGGATCATGCCGCGGAAGACGGTGGTACCTCGAAAGGGAAGGCTTGATCACCACCCAGTCTGTCTTAAACTTCCCCTGGCCATGAGGTAGGAGAAAAAAACCGTGTTCATAGACTTCTACTCACCTTCCAATAGTGCTCTTTCGGTTGGTATGTTAGCAAGCTGGTCGTATATTGAGAGCCGTTCAATTTGATGTCATTAGACCAAATACCGACTCTTCAAGCACAACCATCGAATATTCGGAATGTCTCAATGGTCTCTGCAGGTATGTTCCCGGTTCATTTTGATTTTAAGGGGCTCATATCATACTAACCAGTTCGTCTACAGTTGGCCATG